TCTCCGAAGGTCCCCGGCTGGGAGGCGAATCGAGGCTGCGGGAAGGGGTGGGCCTCTCCGTGAACCCCTTCGCTGGGCCCGGGCATGGAGTACGGCCGAGTCTCGGTGAAAGGGTTTGTTACTGGGTCTCTGCTTCCGTCTCCGCGGCTTGTATTTAAAAGAGAGAGGAGGCAGAGAGAGAACGTCCTCCTATCCGGGCCTCACGGCCTGTCCTGTCTGGCCCCGGGCAGCAGTGTGGGGGAGGGCCAGCAATCTTGGGAAGGAAGATGGACCTTCCTCTCTATCAGTAGATTTGTTTACATGTTTCTCTCCTTGCCTGACTCGACCTCTCCTCGCCCAGGGCGCTCATGTGTCCGCCCAGATGTTGGGTGGAGGGGCTCAGGTGTTTTGATCTTTTGGCCTCTGTGGTCCGGAGGAGCATAGTAAGCATGTGGCTGAGGAAATGGCCATCACTGCCATTGGCCAACGGCTATTCTAGCTTCTTTCCAAACGAATGACGTAACCTTGAAGGTCACTGCAACCCTTGAGCCTTAGTTTACCCCTCGGCAAAGTGAGCACGTTTCTAGATTTCAAAGATTATAGAGGCAGATTCTGGATGAGCCCTGAGTGCGCTGATGTTGAAGTCCCACGAGCTTCTTACCTCATTCTCCCCACCCCCACCCCCACCCCCGGCCTTTCTTGTCAGGGGGTCAGCTCCATTTGACTGTGGTGTGTGTTTTCAGGATTGAAACTCCAAGATGGATGATCAGGATCCTGGGGGCATTAGCCCCCTTCAGCAAATGGTGGCCTCAGGAGCTGGGGCTGTGGTCACCTCCCTCTTCAGTAAGACCTGGGGAGAAGGGGTGTGGGCAGCTGGGTGTTAATGTGGGCTAGAGGTTGGCGACAATTTGGTTCTGATGAAGAAGAGGGAGAGTGGTGTTCTAAAGGAACCTTCCGACCTACCTCCTTCCCCAGTGACACCCCTGGATGTGGTGAAGGTCCGCCTTCAGTCTCAAAGACCCTCGGCAGCCAGCGGTGAGTACCAGAACCTGGAGCCAGACCGAGGGGAGCTTCCTGACAAAATAAGGATTTCTCAGAGATGGGGTTCCAGTGGGGGAGGTGGCATTCCTGACCATTGGGACTGACCTTGTGTTTCAGAATTGACACCTCCCTCCAGATTCTGGTGTCTCTCCTACACCAAATGTGAGTGTCCCGAGCCCCAGGTGCCTGGGGGTGGGGTGGGGAAGAAGTGTTGAGTGTCTCTAGAGTACCTGGTGTGTCCATGATCATAGTTCAGTACATATTTTGAGGCCACATAGTGACCCAGCTATGTCACCCAGCAAGGCTCCAGGCCCTCCCATCCTAATGTCCATTCCCTTTCCCAGCACCCTCCGCTCTACAGTCCCCAGGGAAGTGCCTCCTATACTGCAATGGTGTCCTGGAGCCCCTGTACCTGTGCCCAAATGGTACCCGCTGTGCCACCTGGTTTCAGGATCCCGCACGGTTCACTGGCACCATGGTAAGGAGCAGCATCAGTGTGTCCCTGAGGGACTCGATTTGGCTAGGCTGCAGGTGTGTGGAATGTAAAGCAAATGGGGTGGCTGTTTATTCAGTGTAGGGAGGGCTTGCCAGGGAGGCCATTCCTTCAGAAAGCTTTTTGGTCCTCATGCTGAAAATCAAAACCAGGACCTGGTCCCTCAGTACATACTAGTTGGGTGCTTTACTACTGAGTTGCACCCTAGCCCTCTTTAAGGTGTTTTTTTGTTTTATTTTTTCTTTTTGTGGTTTTGGTGGGCTGTTTTGTTTTGTGGTGGTGGTTGTGGTAGACAGGGTTCCTCTATGTAATAGACCAGGCTGCCCTCAGACTCCCAGAGATCCACCTGATGTGCATCACCACACCTTTTATCCCAGCACTCGGGAGGCAGAGGCAGGCAGATTTCTGAGTTCGAGGCCAGCCTGGTCTACAGAGTGAGTTCCAGAACAGCCAGGGCTACACAGAGAAACCCTGTCTCGAAAAACAAAAACAACAAAACCAAAACAAAAAAGATGTGTGGCACCAATATCCAGCCACCTCCTTAAGGTTTAAGGGGTGACTAGGAGTCCGCCTAGAACCAAATGAGGGGGCTGTGTGTGTAGAGTTAACTAGCTCATCTCAGGGCTATGGGCAGAGGCTGAGCCAGTCCATTGCAGACTTTGTTCATATCTTTTTTACTCCTGGGCTGCTGCTGGCTTGGTCAGGATGCCTTTGTGAAGATTGTGAGGCATGAGGGCACTAGGACCCTGTGGAGCGGCCTCCCAGCCACCCTGTGAGTACCCTAGTCATGGAGTGTTTCCTTGATTCCTATTAACCGGGTGAGGAAGTGGGTGCTTGAAAGGTTTGGAGTCCTTAAGTCATTTTTCTGGCCTCTTCAAACTCCCAGAGTGATGACTGTGCCAGCTACTGCCATCTACTTCACTGCTTATGACCAACTCAAGGCCTTTCTGTGTGGTCAGTCCTTGACCTCTGACCTCTACGCACCTATGGTAGCTGGTGCCCTCGCCCGAAGTGAGCACAACCCTGGCCCTTGACCTTCCTCTGTCCCTCCTGGGTCCCAGTCCCAGCTTCTGCTAGCCTGGGGGTGGAGTATATTAAACCCTCAGACCCTGGGGCAAGAGCTGGGTTTGGATGCATGGCCTCTTTCCACTGTCTTACCGACCCTCTCCTCCCTAGTGGGCACTGTGACAGTGGTCAGCCCCCTGGAGCTTGTGCGGACCAAGCTGCAGGCTCAGCATGTGTCATACCGTGAACTGGCTACCTGTGTTCAAGCTGCGGTGGCTCAGGGTGGCTGGCGCTCACTGTGGCTGGGCTGGGGTCCCACAGCTCTTCGAGATGTCCCCTTCTCAGGTAGGCACTCCGTCAGGGCCTAGGGGAAAGGGCTCTTGGTAATGTTTAACCAAGTCCCTCCTTTGTTACTAAAATGACTGTGAAGTCACATCACTTCGCTGAGCCTTGGGTCCCTCATTATATAAGGACAGGTCTAGCAGGGACCTAGGCGTTTGCTTAGGTTTTCCTGAACTAGGTCCTGAGGAGGACTTGGTTCAGAGCAGGCAAGCCTGCACTGAGATGGCGTGGCTGTGGGTGGGAGGTGAGAAATCTGGAGCCCACCTCCCCAGCTCCCTCATTTAGTGAGCGTGTAACTACCTCCCAAGCTCTCTACTGGTTCAACTATGAGTTGGTGAAGAGCTGGCTGAGCGGGCTGAGACCGAAAGACCAGACATCTGTGGGCGTCAGCTTTGTGGCTGGTGGTGTCTCAGGAATGGTGAGTTGACTGCATTGGGGTAAGGCCACTAGAAGTGTCCTACAGGACTTTGAGTGAGAGTCAGTAGAGATGCCCAGAAGGTCTCCACATAGCCATGCCGGCCGGGGAGCCTGCTTGCCTTCTTCAGCTGCCCTTGAGATGCCTTAGTCCCTCTCAGGGCCTGGGAATGGAGCTGAGTCCTCTCCTCACCTGACCAGGTGGCTGCCACCCTTACCCTACCCTTTGATGTGGTGAAGACACAGCGACAAATGTCTCTGGGAGCAGTGGAGGCTGTAAGAGGTAAGCTGGGGCTAGTGAGGGGGAGAGAGGGCAGACAGGGGCCCGACCTGAGTCCTACTGAGACCTGAGTCCTACTGAGACGGGCCTTGCATCTGCAGTGAAGCCACCCAGAGTTGACTCCACCTGGCTCCTGCTTCGGAGAATCCAGGCTGAATCTGGCACCAGGGGACTCTTTGCAGGTGGGTGCCTGTCTCTGCATGCACTACATACATGATGTGTGTCAGTGTTGTGTATGTGAGGGGACCTGGACCCCTGACTGGTCTGTCTTCCCATCACAGGCTTCCTCCCCAGGATCATCAAGGCTGCGCCTTCCTGTGCCATCATGATCAGCACTTACGAGTTTGGCAAGAGCTTCTTCCAGAGGCTCAACCAGGAGCAGCCTCTGGGCCACTGAAAGTTGGGCAGCGACCGGCTCTTGCAGGGCGGGAACAGGAGACCGAGCCAAGTGCCTTCCCTCCCAGTCCAGTCACCCAGACTGTCCTCATACCTGGATTCCTGCTGTTCCCCTTCCCAGGATTGCCACTCTCCCACCTCCGAGTTCAAGACCAAATCTGACGATTGCCCCTCTTTGTATCCCTCTATGTTTGTTATAGCCTGGTCCCGAGGGGCTGAGCGCTCGGGCCAGGTGGCATTCCCAGCCATGGTCGTTCCTTGTCTAAAGATAATCTTCTCTGCACTGCTGTGGCTGCGCTGTCTTGGGGTACGTGTGCCCACGTGGGAGTCCACAGTCACACACAGTGGCCCACAACTGTTACTTCTACACTTGGGAGGCTGAGGCAGGAGGAGTGCCTTGAATACCAGGCCACCCAGGACTATACAGCCAAATTCTGTCTTCACCAAAGGAAAAAAAAAGCTGGCATCTCCAGGTGTGGTGCCACACACCTTTAATCCCAGCACCAGAGAATTTATGGCAAGCAGATCTGAAGCCTACCTGGTCTACATAATGAACTCCAGGCCAGCTAGAGACCTTGTCTTAAAAGCTTCCCACCATAGTGAGTATCCAGACAGAGAGGGGCGAAAGGTTGCCTGTGTGGTAGTAAGGTCCCTTCATGTGGGGCTCACTGCATTGGGGTGAGAGCAAGGAGCTATCTCCCCTAGGGCATGCCACGGTGGTATCACTGGGGCAGGGTTGCTCACTGGCCAGCTCTGACATGATGGATGGGGCTCCAGCTTTGTGCTACAGTGGAGTTGGGTAGGTCCATGGCAGGCAAATGACCCACTAAGGCACACCCTCAGAGGGCTCTGCTAGGGATTCAAGTATTACAGGGGTCAGAGCCAGAAAGCACCTGCAGATCTCCAGAAGCTGAAGCCCCACCCCCACCCTGCCCACACCCTGAGTTATGGCCCTGTGTGTCCCACAGGGCACATCCTCCTGGCATGGTTCCCTTGGTTAAGAGACCCTGTCATGGAGCTCTCCCCGACTCTCCCAAAAGATGGAACCACTTCAGTCCTCTGGTGTTTATTTGCCTAATCTCTCCCCACATAGGTACCAAGGAAGGGTGACTTCAGAGGGTACACAGGGTTAGACCAGAGGCAGGGCAGCAGGAATGCCAGGGCTGGACCATGTGCTCCTGAGGCAAGTGTGGAAGATGAGCAAAAGCAACCAGGCAGCCTTCAGAGCCACCAGAATGAAGTAGCTTCCCCAGGGAACTGAGGAGCTGTGACCTGGGTGTCCCTCCTGGTCCCACTGCTTCCCCATGCAGCTCCTGCCTTCTTGGCAGGGAGCTGAAGCAGGAAAGAAGCTTGGGTTGTCTTTCCCTAGAGACCCAAGGCTAGGTGGATGGTGTTCATGAAGGGTGGCCTGGGTTGGGGGACTCAAAAGGTGGCAGTTGTCCATGGCCCCTGGCAGGTGGGGCTGGCATTGCCCATGCTGCTCCTCAGCTGGGGCTGAGCGCTGGGCTGCCCTCAGGGCTGTCGCTCACCAGGCATTCGTTGGATTTGAAGCTCGCCAGGGACTTGCAGCTGGGAATGGAGGCCAGGGAGCCGCAGAGGCCCAGCATGGAGGGCGTGGGGTCCTTCCCTGGGGAGAGAGGGCGGGTAAGGCCGGGCCAACCAGGCTGCATGTATGTGGGGAGGAGGTCCTCGGTGGTGAGGAGAAAGGGGGCAATTCTCAGGTCACCCCCAGGAGACATGGCCTCTTCTGGAGCATCTGCCATTTTTAATTAAACCTTGATTGAACAAACTTGCACAGGGCTTAAGACACTGTGGTAACCCATCAGTTTACATCTCTGTCTCCCCCTGAGGTTCAGCCTCTGTCCATTTATTAAGCACACAGTGAGCATTTGCTCTGTTTCACACTCTGGGGATACAGAGAATGGACAAGACATGGTCCCTGCCCGCATGGAGCTCACAGTCTGGTGGGGGAGACACACACACACAGTCACAAACACAGTGTGGTGGGTTACATGTCCAAAGCCTGCCTCATCTGCAAGTCGAGTTATCTGATACAGTATAATTATATATCTATATATTTAAATAATAATTTTAAAAAAGGAGGTCCAGGCATGGGGGAGACTAGGAAGGGGTAACCAAGGTGGGGGGGGGGAACAACACAAAATGCATGCGTTGAAGTCCTGGGCATTCACTCCGAGGGAGCCACTAATTTGGTTCTGAGCTTCCTGGCAGCCAAAGAAAAGGGGAAACATTGGTCAGGCAGGCAGTTCAGTGTGCGTGCGGGAAGAGCAAACTAGGCTGAGGGATCCCGGGAGGATGAGCCCTGTGAGGGTGTCATGGCACTAAAAAGCCACTGAGCCCTCTCCACGCATGCATGCTGGAGGTCCTTTTTACCAACATCCCCATTTTACAGATGGAAATATGGGTCAGCAAAATGCAGAGACTGACCAAGTTTACAGATAGAAGAGGTGCAGCCCATGTTTGTACTTTAAAACAAAAAACAAAAAACAAGCCAAGCTCCTCATTGGTGTATAAGTACAGGAAGGGCTGAGAGAATAGGGTTCAGCCACAGCCTGACTGGGGGTGAAGGGGGGTATCCCTTTTCTGAAGTGCCAAGGTGAGTGTGGGTGGGGGTGCACTCACCAATGGGGCCCCAGGGTTCCTCATCCCTCTTGCTCTCTCCCAGGCGCTGGGAGTCTGAGCTCAGGCTGGCCTCTGCTGACAGTGGCTCCGCGCTCATGAAGCTGTGTCTAGGGCAGAACAGGAAAGTGTGCAGGGAGTGACTCCCCTACACACACACACACACACCAGCAGCTCCAGGCCCCGCTTCCTGGGACTGGGGTATAGGGACAGCACTTGGTTGAAGCTTACCTCCGATATAGCTTGGAGTTGCTGGCACCCTCGGGCCTATTGAGTGTGCTCAGGGAGGGCCACTGGTTGACCAGAGGTGTGGTGAGCTCCTTGGAACCCTGGGCCAGGGGGGCATGGTCACCGGGGATCAGACCTGTCCTGGGAGGGGGAGGGGGATCAGGCCTGGCTGGGAGAGGGAAGCAAGACTCAGCAAAGGTGGGGGCCAGGGCTAAGAAAGGAAACTTGAGTGGTAAAATGGAGATATATGCTGCTCGGGAGGATGGCACGTGTCTGGAACTACTAGGATCTTTGAGGTAAGAGGTTCACACGTCTGAGGCCTGCTCCTTAAGGCCGTGCTTGTGGTGGCCGGGATTAGTGCACTCAAGATGGAGTGTTTGGGAGTCAGCTGGGATGATATGACGTAGGGAGGAGAGTGGAAAGGGTGGGTGGGTACTCTTGAAGGGTGGGATTTGTGCTAGCTAGCTGGGTCAGGTTCAGGGAGGAAATGTTCCCGGTTTCGTGGGGGGTGGGGTGGGGGTGGAATCACATCAGAGGCCTGAAAAATGGGGATGGCACACGATAAAACGGAAGGCTGCTAAGGTCCTGTGAGGAAAGGCTGGTGTCTCTAGCTGACGGGCATTGGAAGCTGAGGGGTCTTAATGTGGGGGGCAGGTAATGTTTGGCAATCACGGGATCTTGGGAAAGGGGATGGGGTGGGTGGGCTGATGCGAATTGGATGTCGTCAGGAAAGCAATCCCATCCAATGGAGTCATGTTGGGGTTCACAGGGGTCAGGGCGGGAGGCGGGCTCACAGCTGCTCCTGCAACTCCAGGATCACGCCTTCCAGCTCCCGCTTCTCACGCTGATTTTGTGCCGCTGCCTCCTCCAGCTGCAGCTGCAGCCGCCGGTTCTCCGCCTCCAGGTCCTTCAGCTGCGACTCGCGCAGACGCACCAGCTCCTCCAGGTATCCCTGCGGGGCGCCGGCTCAGCCCGGACGCCCGAAGGGGTCCCAGCTGGAGTCCCCAGCCCAGGCCCTGCCCCCCACCGCGCCCAGCTCCCCGCGCCTCGCCCCGCGCACCTTCTGTGCGTAGACAATGCGAAACTTCTGTTCCATCTTGTGCCACTTGTTGTACCAACTGTCTTCATCGGTGACGAGAGGCAGGTAGGGGTGCTCCGGTGAGTTGTCCTCGCTGGTGCTGCTCTCTGCACTGTGCCTCTCCTCCTCATCCGTCAGGTAGTCGTAGCTTAGGAGCGGGAGCAGTGGATGGGGCCGGCTCCGCCCCGCCTCGCCCCACTAGCACCCCAAATCCGACTCTTGGGCAGTACACCAGGATGACACTCAGAGCCCTTCCGGTACCTATCTCCGCACCCACCGCAATAACCCGGCTGCTCACCTTTGGGTGAATTTTAGGTAGGGTGTGTAATCGATGACCACTGGCGTCTTCCCATCCAGAACTTCGCCCTTTAGACAGAAGCTGGGGCAGAAGAGCCACAGGGGTGGGGGGAGGGAATGAGGGGCGTTGGACAGTTGTGGGTGAGAAAGTCCCCTTCACCACCGCCAAGCAGACCCCACCTGAAGTCGATGGCGCTAAGCCCGATCAGCATCCCTGTGAGGACAGTGGCTTCCTCCCGCAGCATGATGGCTCCGGAGTCATAGAACCGTCTGCAGGGAGAAGAAAGCTGAGACTCCCAGCGAGGATTTCTTTGCCTGGCTTACTTATTACAAACTTTCCCCGGAGGAAGGAGACTCCTTCCAGCTCACCACTTCACTGGAACTAGCACCTGACCCCGCCCCCTCACAATGCCTGTTTCTGGACAAGAAACACTTTTCTGTTCTCTAGGCTAAGCAACCCCTATCAAAGCACTGGATCACCTCAATCCTTTAAATCAGGGAGCAAATCTCAGACTTAGTGCTTGTCACACAGTAAGTGAGGTCCTCAAAAGAATTTACTCTAAAATAAGGTGGACTAGGAACAGACTGTAGTATAAAAAAATCAGATGGGGGGGAGACTCCCAATATCTCCCCACCCCCACCCGCGCACATTCTGCCCTGTGATCTCTGATCCTCAGGATCCAACTTCTGAGCAACCCCCACTCTAAGCACTGAAGCTCCGTACACTGGGACCCAAGAACAGAGTGACTGCCTTTGTTTGCAGAGCTGGCAGGGATATGTGTTGTAGGTCATGGCGTGAGGCCAAGTAAAATGGCATGTGACTGAGGCTTCCGTAGTCCAGTTACCATCTCATCTGGGGGAATCGAACTATTACTGCATGCTGGAACTTGTAGTCCAGGTATTGAAGTTTGCTTGCGGGGACTTAAGGCTTAGGCAATGAGGGTGACTACTGCTGTCTGAGAGGTCTGACCTGGTAGTTCGGTTGTCCCGAAGAGCTGTGGTGATGTATTCTGACATACGCTTCTCCATCAGAGCCACCCGGATCCATGCCCGGCCCTGAAAAGCATGATCACCTTTACTTGTCCCATTCTGGGTGCTGTGGGGAAGTGGTAAGGGTGGGGCCCCTATGTCCAGAGCAGGGTCAGGCGTGTTGACCCGGTTATGGCCTCTCACCTTGGCTCGGGCTGTGCTGATGTTCTCCATGTTCTCGATGCTGCTCACACAGTTGTTGGGCACTTTGCTGCAGGCCAGCCGGATATAGTCCCAGAAGCCCCGTTGTCCATCTGAGCTGAACCAGCTCACTGGACCTGCTGGGGCACAAGCTGAGCCAGGGCAGGGAGGGGATACATCGATACCAGGGAGTTTGGAAAAGGTCCATGTCACAAAACACTTGCATGCATAATCATAAGCCACTATACACACACAGAGTGCCCTCCACCCCATAAGCAGCAGCAGAGAGAGAGCGCGAGCTGCATGCACAATGGTAGAGCTGTGGGCACATGGCCCTCTCCCCAGGCTCCCAATACTATGCTTTAGTTTCTATGTACAGCCCAGAATGGGGCCCTGGACCAGGGACTGTGCTTACAATCCATAGAGGATATTAGAGTGGGACGGTAGCTGGAAGCCACAGGCTGAGGTTGGACGGGGTAGGTGACGGCCTACCTTTAAATCGGTGGCTGAGGATCTGCTCTAAAATGGCTGCAAAATTAACAAACTCCTCGGATGAGTCATCAATGGGTTCTGCTGTGTACTTCTCTAGCAAGGTTTTCACAGAGAACCTGGGTTGGGGGGAGGGAAGGGAGAGGAAGAGTCAGACGGGGTGTCAGAGGAATAGGCAGAGAAGAGGTCATGAAAGGTGTGGGTGTAATGGGGGTGGGGGAGGGGAAACTAGACCAAAGAAGGTTCCAGGCTAGATGGGAGGAGAGGGAGGGTGGCAGAAAGACAGCAAGAACTAGGGGAGAGTCCCTAGACCCTTTGTCCCTGCCGCATCCTTCAGAGTGGCATTTTTCAAATTTGTGAACTGAGGGTCAACAAGGAGTCAGAAGCCAGTTTGAATCCATGCTTCCAAATAGTCTTTCAATATTGTTGGAATGAGCTCCTAGCTCTCTGGGGGTGTCACCTGGACCAGACTGTATGGGCCGCACCCAGGAATGTAGGCATGGAATCGTGACCAGGTGGACACTCAGCTCTGGGACATCCCTCCTCCCCTCTCAGCTAGCCCACCCACACACCAGCTGCCCAGAGCTAGGCAGAGTAGAGCTTGGGGTGTGGGGGCAGAACACAGGGTGTGGGTCTGACACATTGGGTGGGAAGGAACTCTGGCAGTAGGTCCCCGGAAGGGATCTGGGGGCCCAGACACTGCTTTCTCAGGAAGGAAGGTAGCCAAAGGAGGCAGGTGAGGCCAAGGGGTTGGAGCCAAGCATCGCTCACAGCTCTCTGCAGCCCTGGTTCAGCCTCTGGCATCCGCTACCATCCTTATAGAGAGCCTCCATTTGCCATCTATGCAGCGGAGCGGAACAGGGAAAGAATGAACAGCAACCAGCATCTCATTGCTGTTCTGCTTCTGGAGACAGAGCAGGAGCCGGGTGCCTGGGACACAAGAGGGACTTGGGTCTGTGCTTTTATTTTATCCATGTTTAACCAAGCTATACAGTGTCCTCAGAACTATATTTCATGTGTGTCCTCACCACAGCCCGGGAGGTAGGTCCTCTTATGACAACCTGCCCCATATTACAGACGAGGAGGCTGAAGACTCCAGAGATGGACTGATCAGTCATGTAACTTGGGAGGAGGCAAACATTTGGCCCATTCTCTATCCTTGGCTCTTTCTGTTCTGTCTTATGGCTTCCTAGTGGCCGTTCTAATTACTGAGGCTTGGCCAGTGAGCTGGCTCAGTGGATAAAGGCACATGCCCCTCAGCCCATCGACCAGAGTTCAGTCCCAGGACCTACATAGTGGAAGGAGAGAACCCATTCCCATCAGCTGTCCTGGGACTTCCACACTCACACCGTGGCACATACAAATAAGTAAACAGATAAATAAATGTAATCTTTAAAAAAAAAAAAAGTAGTAGCCAGGCATGATGGCACATGCCTTAGCTGATCCCAGCACTCAGGAAGCAGAGGCAGGAGGTTCTTTGTAAGTCCAGGCCTGCTTATTCTACATAGTGTATGCCAGGACAGCCAGGACTACATAGAGAGACCTTGTCTTTAAAAACAAAAACAACAGCAACAACAAAAAAATACAAATCATTCAAACAAGTACTGAGGCCCTAAGTGCCCTCTGCCCTCTGCCCTCTACTTGAGAAGCTTCCAGTCCTGAAGCACTGGCTACTAAGTCTCCCAAGTAAACAGCACAACCAGGAGCCCTTCTCCATCACCTTCATTTGGGTTTACTAGGGGATGGAGCCTGAGAAAAGGCAGGTCAGTGTCAGACTGTGCTAGGGGAAAGCAGGCTGCGGGATTCAAAGCCTTTTTCCTTGGATGCAAATAGAAATATCAGCGCTCGCCCCATTCAACTTTGGTTCAGATCCTAGACAAGGATGGGAGAAGGTGAGAGTGTATTGATTCCTGGGCACAGGCCAGGTGAGGAGGCAAGGCTGGGGTAAGGCCATTATCTGGGCTTTGTTATGCACATCACTGACTTGTGGTCATCTGGGTCAGACTTCAGGAGAGGCCTGGGGCTGGGTCAGCATGGCTGCCATCTGCTATCCGTCCTTGGGGGAGCTGAAAGCTGGTCAGAGCCTTCAGGAACCCCATGGTGTGGACCTGGTTAGGAGGAGGATAGCTGCTGGGGTTACCATGGAGACAGAGAGGCCAGGGCCCAGGGGAGCCTGCAGCCTGCTAAAGGGAGCTGCTGGGAGCTGGAGAACCACGTGACAGTAATGAGGCAGCAGGGTCCTTTGGGATTTGGAGAATTTGTCATGCCCCCAAGCCCCTATACTATTCCTTGTCCCCCACTCGGAGCTACCTCTTTCTTGAACCTCTCTTTCTCCAGTTCAGTGGCTCTTTCTCCTTTTCCCATACACTCTAAGCCCCAGCTCTCCTGGCAGGCAAGAGAAAGATGCACCTAGATTGCCAAGAGCCAAGAGAGGGGCAGGAAGGATGTCGTTGAAATAGAGCCGTTTCTGTGTGCCAGGCACTGGCTAGTATCTAATGTGACACACCACGACCCAATCTTTAGTGTGGCTTTTACACCTAAGATGTAAAACCTAAGAAAAAGCACCAAAGCCTCAGAGTATGGATAGGAGATTGCTACAGGGTTGCCCAGCTAAGAACTGAAGCAAAAGCTTGATCCCAGGACTGTGTGGTCCCAAGGGCAGAAATCTCTTGATGCCACACCGGCAGGTTGGAATAGGAAGGCAGAGCGAGCGTCTGTGCTAGGTCACAGATGCACATCCCAGCCACCTTCTTACAGGGATGATGTGCACAGCACTTTCGAGACACTAGGAAAGGGATGCTCTGACACAGAGGCAACATGGCTTGGTATGTGTCCAGAATCCAAAGGTACCCTGGGTAATGGGAGACTGGGCATCAGGTGGGCATGACTTCTGGGAGAAGGAACAGGGCTGAGGTTTATGTGCAGGCTAGTGGGACTGGCAAGAAACAACAACTCAGTCCTGCACCCAGGAGTACTATGAGTGAAGACACAACACCCTACTGGACACAGGGGCTGCAGGTGGAGAAGGCAGCTGGCATGGAGACCCCAGAGGAAGCAGCAAGGACAGGTGAGGCTTTGGGAGAGAGCCTGCACAGCTGGTGGCTTTCTGGCCTCAGGGCAGGCCAGGGAGGGTGAGTCACTGCAGGCTTGAAGTGGGAACATTACTTCCTGGTATCCAAGAAAGAGGAGAATTTTCCTAGTCCTGTAACTGCCCCACCCTCAGGGATGTAGGGATCTGGGCTCCCAGTCTTCACTCGGACTCATGAGCTTCTGCAGTTAGGCCTTGGGTGTTCTCTACAACAGGGTAGTGCCCTCGACCTTCATTGGATGGGTTCTGGGCCTTTGTGCACAGTTGGTCCTGCTACAGGCTGCTGCTACCCAGAAACACCATCCTTCCTTTACAGAGGGTTGAGCATAGGAAAGTCTCTCAAGAAAGCTCCACTCCAAGAGGTCAAGCTGGCAGGGGTGCCAAGAGGGGACTTGGAGGACATCCACCCCCAACCCCACTGAGTTCCCTCTGCCCACCCTGCCCCCACTGCCAGGAAGAGAGTCAGCCATCCTCCCTCCTCCCTCTCTCATACACAATGTCACTTCCTGGTTCTCACAGGAAACTGCAATGCCAATTAAACTCTTTTCATCCCCCCAAACCCCAGGCCGGGCATAGGCCTGGCTTAGCCAAGAAGAATAAGGACCGACATTTCAGCCCGCCTCCCAGTTCCGGGCCTGGGAAGGCTAGAGAGCGCGTTCCTCCCTGCCCTGCCTTTTCTCAGTAGCTGCAGAGCATCCTCGTGGGCATGCTCAACCCTTAGGTTTCTCACCCCGCTCCAACCCCTCTAACTACGCCACCCCGACCGCCAGCGGCGCCCACCTGCACACGGTGATCAGGTTCCTGCGCTCCACGATCACGTTGCGGGAAGATGCTTTCTTGGAGGGCAGCCCCAGAGCCATGGTGGTCTGGACAAAGCTCGCTTCCATCCAGATGTGCGGCCACTGCTGCCGCCGCCCGCTGCCCCCCACCCCACCCGGCACCCCAGCCCCCCTCGCAGGATTACGGCTGGGCCCTCTGCCCCCGGGGGCCCTTCGTCCTCTTCACTGCCATCCCTCGGCCTCGACGCCTAAGGCCGGCCCCTTCGCTCCCTCCCCCGGCAGCGATTCTGGAGCAAAACAAGGCCGGGGAGGGAGCTCTCCGAGGTGCTGAGCCGGGGCTCGTCACCCCCTCCCCCAGTCTCCCGTCCCCCCTCCTTGGCCGGTGACGTCAGGGCCATAAGTCCCCGCCTCTGGCAGCCCGGGACCAATCCGCAAAGAGCGCAGGGCTTGGGGGAGGGGAAGGACTGAGGCCCCTGAGAGAGTGGAGGGGGTCCCCCTGAGAGACAACGGAGATTGTGTAGTGAAGGGCCCTTTTCTCCACCCCCACACTCAAGGCTGGGGATCCTCGCCTGATGTCTCTGCATTGAGGCTTCCCTTGTTTCTGACCTGAAGTCGGTACTGTCTCAGGTTTCTCACTGTACCCTAAAGAATGGAGACCCTCACCTCCTGCATCCTTAGCCCATCCCTGCCCCTTATCCATTCATCCCAGGCTTGTAAGCCCGGTCCAGGCCACTTTCACAGACTGCAGGTGGCCTTAAGGTGCTAACTCTTCCGAAACTAAAGGCAGCTACAGAAGCTGCCTCTTCTGTCTATCTCTGCGGGGGTTGCAATCGTCTGCAGTAGCCAAGCAAGCCAGGCTCTCCACGAGTGGAGGATGGGAACTCAGCGAAACCGTTTGAGTCCAGAGCTTGGAACCACTCAGGATAGGGAATCACTGGCAGCCTGGCAGCTTGGACTCCATGGGGGTGCTTAGCAGCAGCCACTCCACCGACCAGTAGATTTAAGGATTAACCCTTTGGCAGCCTACATTGATAGGGGGTGCGGGGGGGGGGGTGCGGTCAAAAAGGGTTAGTTTTAAGCTGGGCAGGACTTGAAGGCGTAGTTTGGCTTCTGTACTACCCTTGGCTTCCAGGTTGCGCTTCAGGTCTCTGCTTGCCTGCTCCATTCCTGGCAAACACTTCCAGGATTTGAACATCGCCCGTGTTCGATTGGGTTGCTCCTCTTAATGCGGAATGTACGACTATACGTTATGGACGTCAATGACTTATCAGATTTGATTTGCACTATTTTCTCTCATTCTGCAGGTGTCCTTTAAAATTGTTGATACTGAGCCGGGCGGTGGTGGTGCACGCCTTTGATCCAAGCACTTGGGAGGCAGAGACAGGCAGATTTCTGAGTCCGAGGCCAGCCTGGTCTACAGAGTGAGTTCCAGGACAGCCAGGGCTATACAGAGAAACCCTGTCTCGAAAAACCAAAACAAACAAAAAAAATGTTGATACTGTCATTTGATACTCAAAACACTTGAATTTCCATGAATTATCCAACCTGGCCTTTGTTGTTGTCTGTATCTTTGGTGTCAAATCCTAGAAATCATTGCCTTTGTATGTTTTTGTGTTTTGTTTTTGTTGTTTGTTTTGTTTTGTTTTGAGACAGGATCTGACTATGTATCTCTGGCTAGCCTGGAATTCCATTTGTAGGACCAGACTGTTCTCAGACTCACTGAGATCCTCCTGCCTCTGCCTTCTGAGAGCTGGAATGTACTACCAGGCCCCCAACTCCTTTGTAAGTTTTTGAGATAGTCTTCTGTGAGGCTGGACTGAAACTTGATATAAAGCCAAGGTTAATCTTGAGCTCTGGGTCCTAGTGTCTCTGCCATGCCTGGCTGCCTTTTTACTATTTTCAGTGCTGAGGATTGAGCCCAGGGCCTGCAGGTTCTAGCCAAGTGCTCTGCTACTGAGGAGCACCTCCGGATACCCTGCTTTCTTTGACTTGTAAAGGCTTGCTTGTAGATCTGTGATCCACTTCAAGTTGAGTTTTGAATATACTCTCAGGTACTATCTTCCCCCCTCCCCCACCACCACCATTGAGACCGGTCTTGTCATACAGACACAAAATGATTTGACCATATACCTAAGAGTCTAGCCAAGCTCTGTGTTCTGCCCCATTGGATTATTTGTCTGGCTTATGTCTGTTGTAGATTTTGATGAATGAAGATTTCTAGTAAGGCATTTTTCCTTGAGCTATGGTTTGAACACAGGGCCTCACACATCTAGACAAGGACTGTAGCACTGAGTTACAACCCAGCTCTGTATTAAGTTTGGAGATCAAGAAGCATGACCTGTTCTTTGTCATATCCTGACTTATAACAGCTTCCTTCTTTTTCAGTATAGATTTATCACCTATGTGTTCAACAATATAATATTCCCAGTGTTGAGACTTTACAGAACTGAAAAAAGGTATACAAGAAGATGTGACTACTTCCTCCTCTTCCTCCTCCTTATTTTTCCTCTTCCTCATTTTCCTCTTCCTTTTTTTTAAAGACTTATTTATATATTTTATATATGTGAGTACACTGTCACTCTCTTAGACACACCAGGAGAGAGCATCAGATCCCATTACAGATGGTTGTGAGCCACCATGTGGTTGCTGGGAATTGAACTGAGGACTTCTGGAAAAGCAATCAGTGCTCTTAACCATTGAGCTATCTCTCCAGCCCTCCTCCTCCTCCTTTTTGTGAGATGAGGCCTCACCATGTAGCCTTAACTGTCTTGGAACTGTATATAGACTAGGCTGGCCTCGAACTCAGAAATCCACCACCCCCTGCCTCCTGGGTGCTGGGATTAAAGGTGTGTGACATCACACGTAGCCAGTGATTTCTTCTTTCGACATTAGTTTAGGAGACTCTTTTTTCTTGTGTGTTATTTCAGTGTGTGTCTGTGGCATGTGTATCCATTCTACCGTGAGGATAATCTTATGTTCAAGTTGAGGCGGAGTCAAGAAAGCAGGGAGCACATTGTGTGTCTCCATAGAGGGATATAAATACAGGAAACTGGTTCCCGGGGGCAGGGGTGGAAAACAGAAAGAACATTGAGAAGAGAATGCTGAGCCGGGCGGTGGTGGCGCACGCCTTTAATCCCAGCACTTGGGAGGCAGAGGCAGGAGGATTTCTGAGTTCGAAGCCAGCCTGGTCTACAGAGTGAGTTCCAGGACAGCCAGGACTATACGGAGAAACCCTGTCTCGAAAAAAAAAAAAAAAAAAGAATGCTGAGACAACACAAGAGTAGTAGCGTTGGCAGCCAGGACTGGGAACCAGAGGAGCCCTGGGAACCTGCATGGTTGAGACTCTCAGGAGAAGCTTCCTGCTTAAAGCCATCTCTAATGGTTCTAAGAACATAGAAAGAAGCACAAGGCTGGACATTATGTCCAGGAGTAGAATAACTCCAAAAACAGAACAAACAGTGGCTAGCTAGCTAACTCTCCTTTCCCCAACCCTCCAGTCTGCTCCTGTACCTCCTTTTAGCAGAATCTTAGAGAAAGCAAGCGATGGAGTCTGGGGAACCAGGTAGCAGAGTCATAACTCAGCTGGACACCGGAGAGATTTGGATAGAAAAGTAAGTATCTAGTGGAGGCAAATTCTGCCTTTCACCCACTCAGCCTCCAAGCAGCTCTCTGTGCCTGTTGGAGCAAGAGCAATTCCATGATTCTGCTTGACAAGATAACACTCTCTTTGCAACGTGAGGATGTTCAGGTGCCTTCAATGGTCTCCATAGCAACAGCACCATCTCCCTGTGAGGCCGGTACTCTCCATTTTTTCAGAGTCCTGTAACCCAATGGCTACATTGCAGTCCTTGGGTCAAGAAGGAGAAGAAAATTACTATTCGGAGAGAACATGGAGCACCAAACTTTTTTTAAAAGCATGCACAAGACTTATTGTGCAAACAAGAAGACTTGTGTTCAGATCTCCCACTCTCAGGTAAAAAAATGGGCTAGCAGCACGTGCCTCCTGTAACTCCAGTCTGGTGAAGGCAGGGGAGATGGAGACAGGATGACTCCTGCAGCTTGCTGGACAGCGAGTCTAGTGAAACTGGCAAGCTCCAAATTCAGTGAGAGATTTTCTTAGGATTTTAATGCAATGAAGAGACTCTATGACCACTGTAACTCTTATAAAGAAAAACATTTAATTGGGGTTGGCTTACAATTTCAGAGGTTTAATCCATTATCATTGTGGCGAGAAGCATGCAAACATGGTGCTGGAGAAGGAGTTGAGAGTACATCTTGGTCTGCAGGGCAGCGGACTCAGGCTGTCCACCCCACTGGGCATAGCTTGAGCATTATAAGCATGCAAAACCCTCCTCCTGGTAACACTCCCTCCAACACGGCCACACCCCCTCCAAAAGGCCACACCTCCTCCGAGACCACACCTCCAATAAGGCCACACCTTCTAATAGTACCACTCTCTATGGACCAAACATTCAAACCCATTAGGCCATTCCCACTCAAACCACTACAGAGACCCTGTCTCAAAAAGAAAGTCTGGGCAGTGGTGGCCTACGTCTTTAATCCCAGCACTTGGGAGGCAGAGGCAGGGGGATTTCAGCCTGGTCTACAGAGTGAGTTCAAGGACAGCCAGGGCTACACAGAGAAAACCTGTCTCAAAAAAATCAAAAAAAAAAAAAAAAAAAAAAAAGCAAGCTGGGTGTAGTGGTGCAAGCCTGTAATCTCAGCAATGGGGAGGCAGAGGTAGGCAGATCTCTGTGGGTTCAAGGCCAGCCTGGTCTACAAAGTGAGTCCAAGATAGCTGGGGCTGGTTATACTGAGAAGTCCTGTCTTGAAAAACATACAAAAAAAGGAGGGAAAGAGGAAGACATCCATTGTCTACACACACATGCATGACACACCCCTCATATATCGCACACCAAAAAAGACAAATATTCCCAGAGATTCCACAATCCTTGGTCTATGTTGTTTGTTTTTTCAGTTTTCTTGGAGACAGGATCTTATATAGTCCAGGCTGTCCTCTATAGTCCTCATACCTCAGCCTCCCAAATGCAGGAACTAAAGTCATGGGTCACTGCGCCCAGCAATTTTTTTTTTGTAAATGGCCAGAAGTGGGTATTTATTTCCTCTAGTGTATTAGTTATTTTTATTATACTCTTAGCCAGCACATTTATTTATTTTTCAAATTGTATAGCTAGATTTTTTTGTTTTGTTTTTCGAGACAGGGTTTTTCTGTGTAGCTAACTATTCTGGGGCTCAATCTTTAGACCAGGCTGGCCCTGAACTCAGAGATCCTCTTACCTCTGAAGTGCTGAGATCAAAGGCATGCACCGCTCGTGATCTGGCTGGATCTCTATGCTTGCAGAATCTGAATTCTCATGGTC